GCCCCAGGCCCACTCCCTTCTGTATTCTGCTCCCCACCCCTTGCTGCTGCCGTTGTTCATAGCGCCTGGCATCTTTCAGCTATGCAGTATGGAGGTTTTCCAACGCAGCTGGCATCATCACCCGCAGGTACCTTGCCCTGGCTTCCGACAGCGCCACCCAATTGTCTATGGTGCCTGCCGTCACTGTGTCTGTGAGGACCCGGGTTGCTCCTACTGGCAGCAGCGGCTCGCATCCATACAGGAGGCTGTATGGGGAGTGGTCTCTCAAGGCTGCCTGCTTCCCGAACCTGTATCCTGCTGCAATCCAGTGCAGCTCCTCATCCCAATCCCGCTTCCTCTTCTCCCCATAAGCCCTCAATCCCCGCTTTAAGGTCTGCACCAGGTGCTCTGTCAACCCATCACTTTGTGGGTGGTAGCGGGAGGTGCGTCTGTGAGTGATCCCCGTCTCTTCCAGCAGCTTCTTGAAGTCCCCTTGGAACTCGGTTCCCTGATCTGTGAGGACTTCTGCACATGCCCCAAATCTGCAGATCACCTGCTCTTTGAATGCCGCTGCCACCTGCCTTGAGCTCTTGCTCGGTATTGCCCCCACCTCCAGCCATTTGCTCGCGTGCTCCACCATGAGCACGATGTATTTCTTACCCCCCCGGCTCAGAGGCAGTTCCCCGGCCAGATCCAAGGACCATCTGAAGCCTAGGCCTCGTATAGGCAGGGACTGCAAGTCGGCCTTAGCCTGGGTGAGGTTGGCCCTGCTCCGCTGGCATGCCTCACAGCCCTCCACCAGCCCTTCACTTGTCTCCGCATCCCCTCCCACCACCACCCCGTCTTCAGCAGCTGCACCGTCCTCTCGTGCCCGAAATGCCCCAACTTTGTATGCACCTCTTTGATCACTGCTTCTAGGTCACTAGGTGCTGGCACCAACTTCCATCCTTCCTCGGTCTGTATCTGTAACTGCTGCTGATACCACCTGTAGTGATGTCCCCTGGCCCTCACTCTCTCCGTCATCTCCTCATCCTCCCCTGTCTCCCCCTTGACCCACCGCATGGCTTGTTCATCTTCCCAAATATCTGCCGGCCCCTTGCTCCCCTTTACCCCGCCCGATTCCACCTGTCTTGCCAATAGTGTCAGGGTCACTGTCGGTTCCAGCTATGGGGGATTCCGGGAGAGACCGTCCACATGCTGTAGGGTCTTTCCTGGCCGGTGTTTGATCTTAAAATCATACTCCTGCAGCTTCATTGCCCACCGTGCGTTCCTGCCCGTCAGTCCCGGAGTTGTCATCAGCCTTGTCAGTGGCTGGTGATCCGTCACCAAGGTAAACTCTCGTCCCTGTAGGTACGAAATGCCCCACCGCCCACACTGCCGCCAGTCCCTCCCCTATGTATGAGCTGTATTGCGCCTCAGCCGAGTTACAACTCCTGCTCGCGTAGGCCACCACCTTCTCCTCCCCTTTTACCTCCTGGCAGAGTATCCCTCCCATTCCTTGGCTGCTCCAGTCGGTGTAGAGGGTGAATGGTTGGTCCGCTGCCGGCAGCCGCAACACAGTCGCCGTCTTCACTGCTGTCATGAGGTCCTGCAAAGCTCCCTTCTGTGCCTCTCCCCACTCCCACGCCCTGTCCTCCCTCAGCAGCCCATTCAATGCTGCTGCTCGTTTGCTGAAATTGAGCACAAACCTCCTGTAGTAGGTGAGGAAGCCTAACACCGCTCTCAGCCCTGACTTGTCCTTTGGCTCTCGCAGTCGGTCCAAGACCTCCACCTTGGCCTGCTGGATCCCAATCTGTCCCCCCTTCACCTCGTAGTCCAAGTATTGCGCCGTCTCTTCACCCCACCTGCAGTTCTTGGGGTGACACGTGAGTCCTGCCGTTTCTATTGCCGCCAGTGTCCTCTCTACGTCCTGTAAATGCTGCTGCTCTGTGGTGCTGAAGATCACCACGTCGTCTATGTAGCAGGCCGCGCATTCTACGTCCCTCAGCACCGCATCCATGACCCTCTGAAACACTGCCGATGCGTTCCTCAGCCCGAATGGCATATACAGCCACTCATACAGCCCATCCGGCCCATGGAAGGCCGTCTTCTTGATGTCCTCCTCCCTGATCTTGATTTGGTTGAACCCCTGCCGTAGGTCTAACGTAGTAAAGAAGACTCCATCTGCCAACTTGTCAAATATCTCCTCGGCCATAGGCATGGGGTACCTGTCAGCTACCGTGATCTTGTTGAGTGCCCGGTAATCCCCACACATCCTCCTGCTCAGGACTTCCCCCGTTAGATCCTTCCTTGCAGCTACTACTGTCGGCGTGGCGTACTCCGACTCGGACCGCCTAATCAACCCAGCCTCCAGCAACTCCTTGATTTTCTCCTTGCAGATTTCCTCATCCCCGTGTGGCATCTTTCTCCTCCGATGGAACACGGGCTCCGCACTGCTCAGCTTCAACTCCATCTCCTTCACCTTGCACCTTCCCAACTCCTGCAGGTTGAAGGCAAAGCACTTCCTATGTTTGCTCAGCAGCCGTTGCATAGCTTCCCTCCCTTCCTCACTCATCGCCTCCCCTACCTTCCATGTCTCTCATTCCTCCTCCTGGCATGCCCATGCTCCCTGAGGGCGCGGTTCCATGCCCCCTTCTTCTTCCTCCTGCCCCCAGCTCACCACTTTCTCTCTCCACATCCGCTGAACCAGCCATCTCATCATGTTGCCATCCATGGCGTTCCCTAATACCCTCCTCCTCTCAGCCTCGCTCACCCCTGGAGCTGCCGTTGCATTCTCCCCATACCCCAGGGCCAGCTCCCTTTCCAGCGCGGTTGGTTCCTCCCATCGCTGCTTCTTGTGATCATAGATCATTCCTGGGCCCGGTTCCCCTGCTGCCCACCCGTATCCTGCTGCTTCTGCATAGGTAACCAGGGTGGGCAAAGCCCACCGGTCCTGTCCCACCTGATTGCAGGGGTAGTGTTTACTTGCACACCGACGCTGGGGTCCGTCCTGGCTCAAGGATATCCTGCACCTTCCTCCCTGGCGCCCTTCTTACCCCTTCTATCTCCTCCTGCAGGATCGGCGCCGGGACAATGTTCTGCCAATACATTCTCAAACGGTGTGCGAGTGACCCCATTCTGGCCGCATCACTGCTCACTCCTTCTCCCAACTCCTCCTTGATCCTCTCCCTCACTAGCCGTATGGGCTCCCTGCTGTCCGCTTCCAAATCCAGATTCTCCACCAGGTAGGCCACTCTGCCCTGCCTCTCTTGCAGCCACTCCATGATGCAAAAACGGTCCTCCATCAGCTGCGTCCTCGGGTCCCCCTTTCCTCTCCCTTTGCCTGCCCAGGATACCCCTTGGCACTCCCACCATGCCACTAGTAAGTCCACCTGCCCCCAGCTGGCCACCTCTGCCTCTGTTATCTGTGCCACATCATGGCTGTTTCCCTTCATGGCCTCACGGATCACCCCCGCACTCAGGAGCTCTAGGAATTCTGCCTGCAGCTTCCATGCGTTATGCTCAGCCATCTTCCTCACCACCGGCGCCTGTTCCACGTATACCCACTTCTGCACTGCAATCCCACTTCTCACCACTGCTGCTAGTCCTGCCCCAATCCCCCCGAACAGCTCCACCAAGCGGATGGGCTGCTGCCAGTCGCTCTACCGCCTTCGCTCGTCCATCCTCCTCATTCAGGGCCCTTCCCTGGTCCCCCTCTGCTCCCCTGCCTCTCTTGTCTCCTTCACTTGTCCTTCTATGGCCTGGTACGCCCTCTTGGGCTCCACCTTCACAAATCGTACTGGCAGCTCCCCCAGTGGCCCCTCCTTCTTCCAGTACCGCGTCCAGAACTCTACCTTCTCAGTCCATGTGCAAATGGTCATGCCCACTGCAAACACCAGCTCGGTGCCCACTAGCACGTCGAAATCCTCGGACTCTGAGATGCCGCACTTCATTCTGATTTTGGTTTCATGTTCCCCTCCTGGCAGCAGTGTCACCTCTAGAGGTGCCCGGGTGCAGGGCATCCATTTCGGCTCCCCTCCTTCCGCTGTCATTACCAACATCCCCCTTTTTACATACCTTTCTGGAGCCAAGAGCCCCAGCCTCTCAGCCATCCCCTTACCCAACATCACATTCTGCGCTCCTGTGTTTATGATGGCGATCTTCACCTTCTCCCCTTCCACTTCCATCGCTCCCCCCTCTACCAGCAGCACAGAGGTTTGACACGCCAACCTCTCTTGTGGATGGCGTGCCGGCGGCGTTACCAACACCGGCTCCTCTGGTTTCTGCCCCTTCTCCCGAACCTTCCTGCTCTGCTCCTGCCTGCCGTCCTTCCCTCCGCTCCTTAGCCCCATCTCCTCCCTTCCCCTCCAGGCCATGAGCGCGCACTGCACGTCCTGCTCTACCTCCTCTCCCTCCTCGTCTCTAGCATACATCCCTGCCTCGGCCCCCCACCTTGGTCCCGTTGCTTGCAACTGCGCCTGCAACCTGTTGATCTGCTGCTGCAGCTCCTCTGGGCTTCTCCTGGCTCCTCCTTCCCTCTGATAGCAGTCCTTGGCTTCGTGTCCCTTCTTCTTGCATATCTCACACCTTGCGGCATCGGGACAATCTCGCCTGCGGTGGCCCGGCTTCCCGCAGCCATCACAGTTCTTGCAATCTCTGCGGAGGTGCCCTGGCTGTCCGCACCTGTGGCATGTCTTGGTCTCCGCCCCTGCCACACCTCGCTCCTCTGCCCTCCCTCGGTCCTCTGGTATCATCGCAGCCGCCCAGGTTGGCCTGCGGGCCCTCTCCATCTGCCTCGGTAGGTAAGCTTCGTATTTTGTCTGTGCGAGCTCCACCCTCTCTGCCAACTCAAACACCTCATCCAGGCTCGCCTCCGCGCCCAGCTCATACACCCTCATCCACAGCCCGCCTCCCAGTGCCTCGTCCAGGCCCCCCAGGAACTTACTGATCAGGAGGCTGCAATCCGTGCATCTTACGTCTTCTGCTACGTTGATCAGCCGGTTGTAATATGCCAGCAGTGACTCGTGCACGCTCGGCCCCGTATGCCAGGCTGCCGCTTCTGGCCCTGCTCTCCTGCTGATCCCCGCGCGCCTCCCCTGACGATCTCCACGGACTGTCCTCCCTTCCCCATCGCCGAGCCGGCGAGAGGTGACTCCTCACCCATTCCCTTCTGCCGGTCTCATACGGTTGACGCCTCGTCGGGGGTGGTCACCACTCCTTCTTTCCCCTTCTCTGCTGCCAAAGGCTTGGCGGTGAGTGTCCCGCCACGTCCTGCCTTCCTTCCCCCATGTGGCGTCGGTTGGGCGACCGCGAATCGCCACTGGGCCTCCCTTCCCACTGCCGTTGCTGGCACGGCGAGCGTGATCCTCCCTTCCGTCGCCCTTCCTGCTGCCACTGCGGCTCCGGCGAGCGGTACTCCCTGCCCCACTCTCCCCCAGGTGCCCGCTGTCGAGCCGCCGAGCACCCCTCGCTCTCCTGTCCACCTCCGCGCATCTCTCCCCCGCCATTGTACCGCTCTGTTCTCGGCGGTGGTTCCCTCGGTGAGCGTGAGCCTCTGTCCCGCTGCCCCGCCCGCCATCGCTGGCTTACTGTCGTGCGTGCGTGCTCGGCTTCTCCTCCCCCACGAGATCCCCGCGGCTGCACCGCGTGTGCCTCTTGCTCTCGATCGTGGCCTCTCTGCTGCAGCGCGTCGCGTGAGTGTTGCCCCCCTAGGCGGTTGGCACCTGCAGCGCGTGCCTCTTCCGTCCGCGCCTCCTCCTCTTCCTCTTCTGCTGCCGCAGCGGAGTCGGCGGTTCCCGTGGGTGCCGCGCGCTCCTCTTCCTCGTCTCCGCGCTCGTCTGGTCGCCGCCGTGCTCCTGCTCGTCGCCGTGCTCCTGCTCATCTCCGTACTCTCGATCGTCCTCCTCGTCCCTTGATTCGTCCTCGTCATTCTCCTCCCGCGTCTGCTCGTCCCGAGGATATTCTTCAGCTCTGCTGACGCCAGAGCTTTCTCCTCGGTTCCGCGGGAGTTCTTCCCTCCCCCACCAGCGACCTCGCTCGTCACATCGCCGCCCTCCCTCTTCTGGGGAGCGGAAGACCCCGTCGTCGCGGTGATGGCGGTGCTCCTCCCCGCACAAGTGAAACGTATTTCTCCGCCACGGCTCGCCCTTCGTCGACGCGGCGAGCCTTTCGCCGTTCGCTGCGTCATGCGCCGCATTTCCCTCTCGTCGGGCCGGCCCGACTGGAATCATATCCGCACGGAAGGCCGGCCTCCGGGGCGATCGCTCCAGGGACCGCCCACGCTCCTGCGAGCGCCCATGCCGAGGCCCTTCCTCCTCTCGACGGGTTAAGACTCGGCCCCATCGCAGCTCAAATTTATCCATTCTATACGCCTAGACTTGTTTTCTATTATGAACGGGATCTCTCTTTCACCCCACTGGTTCCCTCCTGGTGGCGTACCACTGTGTGATTAAGAGCTTAGAGTGCTAACTTCCACTGATACGAGAGAATAATAGAAAACAAGCATCGAGTGGGTGAGCGGGATGGACCTTACCTAGCCCAACCTCAAGCTGCATATTTCCCAATGTGCGGCTCGAGGTTGGGATTCGGTTTCCAATTTCGCCCCTCGGTGCTTTCCCCCTCAAACCAACCGTCCCTTTTCAGTTTCCCCCTTCTTTGCCTATTACAACAGTCCCTACACTACATTCTACATCCCATGCTAATATCGTTGTATATGCAATAACTGCATATACGGTTATTTCCTATCCTACCTCCTACAACCTCATACTACTGTTATTGCATATGCATAAAATGCATATGCGGTGACAACACGCCAATTGGACCAACCGGTCCATTGGACCAACAGGCCAATTCGACCAACCAGTCCATTTTACCAACAGGCCAGTTAGTCCAAAGTTGGTTCAACCAGTCCATTGGACCAACATGCCATTTGGTCCATCTGGTCCATTGGACCATTAAGCGAGTTGGTCCAACCGTTCCATTGGACCAACAGGCCAGTTTATCCTACCGTTCCGTTGGACCAACAACCCAGTGGACTCCCAGTTGGTCCAACCAGTTGATTCGACCATCAGGATAGTTGGTCCAAATGGTCTATTGGATCAACAGGCTAGTTGGTGCAACCGGTCCATTTGACCATCATGCTAGTTGGTCAAACCAGTCCATTGGACCAACAGCCCAATTGGAGCAACCGGTCCATTTGACCAACCGGCCAGTTGGTCCAACAGGTCTATTGGACCAACCAGTCAAGTGGACCAACAGCCCAGTTGGTCCAACCAGTCCATTCGACCAACATGATAGTTGGTCCAAACGGTCCATTGGACGAACAGGCCAGTTGGTCCAGCCGGTCCATTAGACCAACAGGACAATTGGTCCAATTAGTCAATTGGACCAACAGGACAATTGGTTCAACCAGTCCATCGGACCAACAGGCCGGTTGGTCCAATCAGTCCAGTGAACCAACAGGCCAGTTGGTCCACAGGTGGTCGAACCAGTCCATTGGACCAATAAGGCAGTTGGTCCAACCAGTCCGTTGGACCAGTATGCAAGTTTCTCCTACCGGTCCATTAAACCAATAGTCAAGTTGGTCCAAAGTTGGCCCAACCAGTCCATTTGACCACCAGGATAGGTTGTCCAACTCGTCCATTGGATCAACAGGCCAGTTGGTGAAACGGGTCCATTGGACCAACAGGCTAGTTCGTCCAACCGGTCCATTGGACCAACAGCCCGGTTGGTTCAGCAGGTCCACTAGACCAATAGCCCAGTTGGTCCAGCCAGTCCTTTGGACCAACAGGCCAGTTGGTCCAACCAGTCTAGTGGTCCAACATGCCAGTTGGTCCAACCGGTCCAATGGACCAAAGGCCAGTTGGTCCAACCATGGACCAACGGGACAGTTGGTTCAACCAGTCCATTGGACCAAGAGGCCAGTTGGTCCAACCAGTCCATTGGACCAACATGCCAGTTGGTCAAACGGGTCCATTCGATCAACATGCCAATTGGTCTAACTGGTCCGTTGGACCAACAGGCCGGTTGGTCCAACCGGTGCAGTAGACGAACAGGCCAGTTGGTCCAAAGGTGGTCCAACCGGTCCATTGGACCAACAAGCTAGTTGGTCCAACCGGTCCATTGGACCAATATGCCAGGTTGTCCTACCAGTCCATTAGACCAATAGTCCATTTGGTCCAAAGGTGGACCAACCAATTCATTTGACCATCAGGATACTTGGTCCAACTGGTCCATTGATCAACAGGCTAGTTCCTCCAACCGGTCCATTAGACCAACAGCCCGGTTGGTCAAGTGGACCAAAGGCCCAGCTGGTCAAACAAATCCATTCGACCAGCAGGAAAGTTGGTCCCACCGGTCCACTGGACCACCAGGCCAGTTGGTCCAACCGGTCCATCGAACCAACAGGCCAGTTGGTCCAACTGGTACATTGGACCAAGACGCCAGTTGGTTCAACCGCTCCATTGGACCAACAGGTCCGTTGGCCCAACCGTTCCATTGGACCAACAGGACAGTTGGTCCAACCGGTCCAGTGGACCAATAGGTCAGTTGGTCCTACCGGTCCATTGGTCTAAACAATCCATTTGAGCAGCAAACCAGTTGGTCAATGGTTGGTTTAACCGGTCCATTGGACCAACAGGTCAAAAGTTGGTTAAACCGGTCCATTGGACCAACAGGCGAATTGGTCTAACCGGTCGGTTGGACCAACAGAACAATTAGTCAAACCGGTCTATTGGACCAATAGGTCAATTTGTCCTACCGGTTCATTAGACCAATAGGCTAGTTTGTCCAAAATTGGTCCAACCGTTCCATTGGACCAACAACCCAGTTTGTCCAACCAGTCCATTTGACCATAAGAATAGTTGGTGCAACCGGTCCATTGGACCAACAGGCTAGTTCGTCCAACCGGTCCATTGGACCAACAGCCCAGTTGGTCCAGCTGGTCCATTAGACCAACAGCCCAGTTGGTCCAACTAGTCTAATCGACCAACAGGATAGTTGGTCCAACCAGTCCATTGGTCCAAACGGTACAGTGGACCAACAGATCAGTTGGTTGAACAGGTCTATTGGACCAAGACGCCAGTTGGTTCAACTGGTCCAATGGACCAACTGTTTGTGTAAGGGCATAATAAACTCAAGCTATTAAGACTTGGTACAAGACCAGCCCCTATCATCGGGTCCGAGTTTGTAGAGAGAGGAGTCAAGAATGAGTTAGCCAAAATAACAAGAGTACCTTGAACGTCGCGCAGCGTATCGTGCAGACCGTCGATCGGATTAAGCTGAGAATTTCCTATATCGAAGCTCGTTCCAAGAGCTTTAGAATGAGCCAAGTTGCCTCGCGAAAAGTTCTGCCATTACGGATTTATGGCTCGGACAGCGTTGGCTTAGCGTCGTAGTGCTAGCGTACTAGCGTTGACTCGGGTAGCATTCCGCCGTCGTACTGTGTAGAAACGAAATTCCAGGAAGGGAGGAATTCGCTTGAATCAAATTGACTATATCCAGGTACAAACAGAGAAGGAATAAATAGTTCTAGCTAGCAAGGACCTTGGGAATCAACCTGGGAACAACCAAGGATGATCCCAAATCATTCCAAGCAACAGAACCAACCTGGCTGGACAAAACAGCAGGTGGTAGGTTGGAAAACAACCTCTGGTTCTGTTTTTCCATCCTGGGAAAACAACAACCAGGTTCAGGTCCTAAAAACAGAACCTGTTTTGTCTTTGCCCAACCAGCCAAATGCTGGTTCCGCTGGTTTCCCCTGGCCCTGTAGCATGCAGATACAGACAAACAACATCCAACCTTCACCTAGATTGTACCCCTATAGTGCCTGCCCTGCTACACTATAGTCAACCAAACAAAACAGTACAATTTCGAGTTGGATAGAACTGGACCTGCGCAATCAAGTAAGCCGAACCGCAAAGCTTCCATCTTGGGTTCCTTTGCGAGCTCGTCCTTTCTGCTTGTACTGTTCATAGCGCGAACAATGTTGTGCCGAAGCGCACAATGCGCGAGTACCTGCAAATGCTTCAAGCGAAAATTGCGAAAGCAAACAAACACACGAACATTCCATTCACACGCAAATACATTCGCACACGCATACTCGTACAAACAGACGGCAGGATGTCGTGCAATGTGAATTTGCACCCAACACACTCCCCCTCAGCCTGCCGGCTGCATCCCCATCATTCCATTCTAGTTCATGCTCATTCCACTCATGCGCATACAACGCCAATGAGGCTCATCCGCAAGCCTCTTGGTGAGGAAGTCTGCTGGCTGCTGGTGAGTCTTGATGTAGATAGGATTCACCGTCCCCCTCTTCATCTCCTTACGCAGCCAGTGCCACTTGATACGCATGTGCTTGTTCAGCCCATGAAGCACAGCGTTCCTGGCCATCCCAAGAGCCCCCTTGCTATCACAAAACAGCGGCGTAGCAACCTTCTGCTCCCGGCCAATCTCCTCTAACAGCCTCCTCAGCCAAATCACCTCCTTCACCCCATGGAACATCGCCTTGTACTCTGATTCCACGGAAGAGAGTGCCGTCTCCGTCTGCTTCTTTGACCTCCAACTAACAGGTCCTCCCCCAACTACGCAGATGTATCCTCCCACAGATGAGGAATCCTCCTTCTCAGAGGCCCATGTAGCATCGGTAAAGCAAGTGAGAAAGAGCTTGCCTTCTCCAAGCCTCTCCCCCTTCTCTTTCAGCACCTCAACCCCTTTCTGCTTCACCTGTGCAGATGCGGAGTATTGAACTCCAATGCTTGGGTGAGAGTTCAGGTACTTCACCACACGCTCAGCTGCATCCACCTGCTCCTCTGATGGATTCTGCACCACCCTAGCCAGCTGCCCAACCGAGAAAGAGATGTCGGGCCTCGTGTGAACTGCTGCATACAAGAGGCTGCCCACCAAGGACTGAAAT